TAGGAGCTTTAGGATCGATTAATCATAGTGCTTGTACTCTTTTGTTTTGGAAATCACGTCGCCAGCAGAGAAATTCTTGCAGCTAAATAACGTTGAACACTCTGGAGCGGAAATATTGAATTATAAGTGACTTACAACTTACAACGCGCTGTGGCTAGAGGGGGAGGGGGCTTTCACAGAAGCGCCTGTGAAACTAAGGAANGCACTTTAGCCTTTACATCGGTTTCAAACTCTGCGTGTGTATCGAGCCCATTTTTTGCTTTTCTCTGTTCCTTCACTCTCTCCCTCCGTCGCAGCTTGCTTGATAGCACTTGTGGCTTCGCAAGCCGCAAGCATTCACATTTGATATGTAGTTCATCCTTTCCTCGCCTTCCGCAGATATGCTGTTTCGCAAATGTATTGTTCTGCACCGCTCGAAACTGGGTCAATTCCATTGTTCCATGTACAGTTCACTTGGATTGATTGCCACTGTGAACAAAAGGATAATTATTCAAAAAAGATTGGGTGAGTGCCTCATCATAACCAATGATGGCAAGTGTGGATTCTCATTACCAATATTAAGTGTGGCTGTGATGTAGAGATGATACAGTCTCGCTTTCAAATAGGTGAGGCTCACATAGTGAAGGTTATTCATTCATCCTAGGGAAAAGGGGAATAGGCGTGGAAGCCAGAAAATCAGGGTAACAGATTAGAGCGTTGTTTCGTCCGTACTGATTGCCTTTTGCTTAGGTATTCAATCCGATTCTTACCCAGCAGAGGGATTCGATGATCTACCAGCATATGATGACAAATCGCGATGATTGCGTGCATTTGCTGTTTCGTGCAGTCATACAATTACTGTCAGTTCGAGTTGATGGCAACAAACGACCTATTGCTGACTTGGTATGCATTATGCGTGCTCTGACCTCATTTTACCTAGTGATGACGCCTTTTCTAGATGGTCAACCGTCCCGACTTCTTACCAGAGCTCGTCACTAACATCGCGGGTCGTGAAATCGCTCATCTTTCCTACCTCGGTCCTTTTCTCGGTTACGGGATACCATGTGATGAATTTGTTGTAAGTTTGATAGATGCTGTCTCAGAGCATTGCTAATCAAGTGATCTTGTGCAGAGTCCTATCGCAAGCAAATTTTTTGGTGTGACAGAAGCCCCAAAAGATGGAGTAAATATGATGTACGAGAGCTATCGGAGAAGATTTGAGTCCACCAGAGTGAGTTATATCACCAATCTTAGCGCTTTTTATTATTTAGAAGCGTTCGCAACCCTTTCATTATAGTCACTGATGCACCAAATCGTTCATCAGTTGGTAGCAAATGCGTCATCTCGTGGACGTTGTCTTGACTACTTCGCAGCAGTTATCAAACACAATGAAAAACGAGCTCAACTCAGGGTGATTTCATTTTCGTTTGGTCCATATGGTTGATATTCTGATTTTCCACATCTCTTTTTTCATAGGCGGACTTTGCAACACTTGCCTCACATACGTACGTCGTGAATCTGATGTGTGTACTTTTCGAACTATCGTCTAAAATAGATTTGGCGAAGGCAAGTCCATACCGTTTTGGGTATTTCAGTCTACTCAGGTTGCCGAGCAAGGCGCTCCATAATGCTCAGTTAATTACTTCGGTAGAAAAGGCTGAATATTGATGAGAATCTGAACGAGTGTTCCCGTGTTGATACCTATCAAGATCGATTGATGTTGATCGCCCTCAAAATGCCCAGTTCCCATCATATCGATTTTTTTCAATTCCTACGTTTTAAAGGGAAGACGTCAGGCAAGGTAGCTGTGAATCTCACACCGGGTACACGACACTTATTCTAGGAATGTAAATATACCATAACAGTTTTATTTAATAGGGTGATGTGTTTACGATCATTGTCATCCATTCAGGTTAATCAAATGTATCCCTTCCAAAAGAACAGTCGGGTGGATATCGTGGAAAAAACTCGACTCAAAGTAGACCTCCAAGGTGCCAAAGAGTTCGCTGAGAAAATTCGTGAGCATTGTTATATTTATCCTGATCTTCGTCGATTCTTTAGCAGAAAGAAGCAGACCTATGCTTTATAGAGTGTACCTTTTATTCCAGCTAATAACGTTGAAGACAAATTCACGACGGAATGTTTTTTTCTCACTATGCAGTTCGAGAATATCTGCCTTCAACCTGCAGTTAACCGCCTACGTAGCCTTCGAAGACACATTGCAGATGTTCGCGATCAGATTCGGGTGAGTTTCCATACCAGGGGTTAGGAGCTTTAGGATCGATTAATCATAGTGCTTGTACTTTTTTATTTTGGAAATCACGTCGCCAGCCGAGAGATGCTTGCAGCTAAATAACGTTGAACACACTGGAGCGGAAATATTGAATTATAAGTGGTTTACAACGCGCTGTGGCTAGTGGGAGAGGGGGCTTTCACAGAAGCGCCTGTGAAACTAAGGAAATACGCGAAGAACATGCTCTTCAAAAACGTCTTCTGTTCTTTGTGGTGCCTGAGAGAATAGTTTAAAATCTGGTTTAAGAGCGCAACATACCATATTTCGATATATCTTCCTTGCGATACAGTTTGCTTTTTACTTGAGCTTGCCGCTTTTCATTTGTTAGCTCAGCTTACACCTTTGTGGTTGACATGAAAATGGAAACAAATATGTCTTCCTCGCTGTTACAGTTTAAATTGGCTACATGAGCTCCTAGCAGCGTGATTTTCGATACAAATTTGAGCAAGTTAACCGGGCTCGAGCGATTTTCTGCCTATTGTCCAGCATGTGAAGCATAGTGTTCAATGAGATGATTTATCTAGTCCTTCCAGGAACTTCAAGAGCAGCTCTCTCGTTTGCAAGATGGATTGTTTGCTGAACACGAAAGAAATAGAATCAACCACAAAATCAAGGCACGCACTGAACAGAAACTGGTACGTCTAAATTTAAGACATTAAATGTCATTAATTTTTGTTGAGTTTGACTAAACTGCAATTTCTTTCATGAAATGCCTTTGGCCCAATTTCTTGTAGCAATGTCTCAAATTACTCTGTTTTCTGATTTACTCGTCATTCGCAAGACTAACTTAATAATGTAGTAGTCGGTGAAGTATAATGGATTGTAAAGTGATGTGATCTATTGAGTTTTTGCCCAACATAATAAGATTTTTGCCCACAACTGAACGCTCCGATGAATTCTGCTTCCTTTAACGCGAATATCTCGTTCGAAATCTTTTNCAAGTTTCCTATGGAAGTAAAGGTTGGAGTAAATATTTAAAGATCTTATTCCGTGGAGTCTCTTCTAAATTTATTCTCATTCCTTTTGACATTAGTTTACAAAAAAAGTTTGAACAAAGTATCGTTGTTTAGTCCTTCACGCACACAGCGATGTGTTATGAGTGCATGCTATCGGATCCGTCATTCATCAGCCTTGCGCTAGATTTCTCCAGTAAACAGCTGCAACTTCTTCTCAATGCCATTTCTCCGAATTTGTATGTTTCTTTCTTCGAGCTCTTTCTATTTTATTTTAATGGAGAGACCGTTTATGATTGGAAAATATTTCAGCCGCTATGAGAGTGAGTTACCCGCCGTCGCTCCTCCGCTTTTCGCTGCGTACCCAGAGTTCTACTTGGATGACGTACTTGATCTAGTGACATTTGCATTGAAGTATGAACAATGTTTTTCTTTTAGCGAAACTTACGATGCGTTGTTTAGCCTAGGATGACTACGAAACTAGAGCGCGAGCTCTCGATGTACGATCGGTGTGATCGAGTACGATGAAAACCTATTTAGACACACTGCTCCTCTTCTTGTTGGTCGGAACAATGATTGGCCAAATCATTTGCTGGTTTTCATTTGCTGTACACACTACTTCAACAATCCATTCTTGGCTGCTAAGGTTGTACTTATTTTCCATTGTTCATTAGTGACGTTATACGACAAGTTTCCCTACTATCCTCCCTTTCCTTTGTGTGTACTTCCCTTTACAAAGTTAGATATTTTCGCAATTTCTCTATGAAAATCGTTATAGGTGGTTGAGGTTGTGATGATGCTCACACCTGCTGTTATGCCGGCTGCGCAAAATCTGTGGTATCAGGTGATAAATAGCCCGATGGCTATGGAAAAACTATTCCCCAGTTTGGTGAAGGTCAGTTTTTTTTTCTACTCGATACTTCCTTTTTATTGTGTCTGCAGCGATCTCGAGCCCGTCCGCTTCATTCATCTATATTCGGATTCATGGTGAAAATGTGAACAACTAAGATAACAGATCGTAACAGATTAGGTAGAAAGGGTGGATGTTACTAGTAATTTTTTCGTCTACGTAGTAAGTACGGGTCGAATTGAATTCAAGTGAAAAAGGGAGAAATTAATCTTGTAAAGAACTTTTTCGTGCTGTTGCAGTAGGGCATTTGCTTTACAAAAAGAATCTTCCATTTGCCACACGGGTAAAGTTAGAAGATCTAGTGATTCAGTTTTTTTTTACAATGTTGAACATTTTAGGTTTTGACAACGCTTTCTCCTTGAGGTCAATCTTTTCTGGAAACCTCATGCTCATTGTTAAACTTCTGTTTACAGTTCTACTCTGATGCTGAAGCTGGTACGGATTTCTACGAGAAGTTCAGTATTCGGCGAAACATTCAAGTTATTTTCCAGTGCCTTTGGAATGAAACTTACTATCGTTCTATTATGATCCAGCTAGCAAGGTCAGTACGTATTCTTGACGCATTGAAGATAATTTTTCCTCGCACTGAGCTCGATGATATTGCCTGTTATTTTGCTCGATGTTGCTGGGTTAGGTCAGCTAAACTTAACAGATGGTGCTTTATTGCTCCAATAAAATATGAAAACATGCGAAATGGGAGGCGATGTTGATCAGAGAGCGAATCGGATAGTTTGTTCGAAGCCATAGTGGTATTTTCTTTCTAGAGCTTTGTTTTCAGAGCTTGCGGCCCCGAATTCATCCGATTCATTAACATGGTAATCAACGATGCTACATTCCTGCTTGATGAGAGTCTGGCAGCGTTGAAAAAAATCCACGATGTTGAACTGGTAATGGCTAATAAGGAGGAGTGGGCTGCGCTCGGCCGAGAAGAACAACAGCAAAGGGAAGGTATACTGGAGGATGCGAAGAGGCAGGTAGGGTATTTTTTGTTTCTCAGATAATGCCTCTCTCTGAATTTTCCTATGAAGGTGCGCTCTTGGTTAATCTACGCGAAGGATACGTTAGAATTGCTTGGATACCTGACGAGGGATGCGCCACAACCGTTCGCTCAAGATGTGCTTGGCGATAGATTGGCATCAATGCTCAACCATAATATAGCCCAACTTTGCGGAAGGAAATGCATGGAGTTGAAGGTAATATAAGTGTAAGGGAAGCCGCTAAAATTTTGTTGTTCTTCGGTATATCAGTTAAAAGGTTGGCATTTCATAACTTCACATTATCTGAGTACTTCAAACTTTTCCCTCATACGGTAATTACCAGTTTTCCGAATTTTTCAAATTCATAGACTGGATACCCGAGTAATTTATGACAGTATATAACTGCATTACTTTTTTTCAATTCTACCTACCTTTCCAGGTCCGCGATGCAGCAGAGCGATTCCAGTGGGAACCTCGCAAGCTTGTCGGTCAAGTAGTCGATGTCTACCTTAACTTGGCAGCGTTTTCAGACACGTTTGCAGAATTCATTGCTCATGATGAGGTACGAAGAGTGGCATCTACCTTAATTGGGCAGTAGGAATTGTGAAANCCACATTGGAGCTCTTTCCCTTACGCTCTCTTCAGTTGCTCTGAAACTTCTATTTGATACGACCCCATCGGCTTTTTTCAAAACAAGAGTTCTGAGAGAAAAAAAGCGACCAATTCCACTACAATTATGTGTTTTATCGACTTTCTCAAAATCCTCGCCAAATCAACTTGTCGTGCCCTTACCTTTTTCTTTCGTTTTGTTTTCTTGTTCAGCAGTTGTTTCCCCAACCTTTCTGCGCGTGTTTCTAGAAGGCATACTCAATTTCCTTGTAGATTTTGTCAAAGAATTTTCCGATGTTCAAGTTTCAGTAATTTTAGAGATCGTATACACCTCAAATGATGAACGATGTCATTCGTCGTCTCCAAAGCAACAATATAGTTCCTATCAGTCAAATCGAAAGGTATTATAATATAACTTCTTTAGTGTATCCGAAGTTTGGACAGTTTGAACGTTTTACTACTTGTTATCCTTGACTCGCATTCCTGTGTGATCTGACGTTTTAGCTTCTGTATGTCTGTCGTAAAATTTCTAGAGTGCCAACGATTTATTGTTTCCAGATTTAATCGTGTATTTCTTTTCAGGTTTCGGGCATTAGCTGAAAAGGTTGAAACTTTGTACAATAACAAAGCACAGCAAGAAATGGAACTGGAAGATGCTCCTGAGGAATTTAAGGGTAAGATCATTGAACTGTTTCAATTGAAGACGCANGTCTCGATTCGTCTCTGTTGTGAGACAATATATATTTCGAAGACGCCAATATGCATATTTACGCGTCGTCAAACGTTAACGTGATACGTAATGCATTTCTAACAATCTGTTGTTTGTTTTGTGGCAAGGCAGGTGTTGTGGGTTATCAGAAATCCTGGTTTTCTCATACAAGTGCTTCCATAACTCATGTTTTTCGTCTTCAACCTCAATGTTCTTCATATTCCATATAGCGAAGATTCACTTTACTGTCACGAAGCTCTCCGTTTTATTCAATTCACCCCTTCTGAATTTTATATTTTTCAGTCTTTATTATGCTTTTGGCACCTTTCCTACCATCCACAAAGTGTTTTCCATCTTGCCAGAATGCTTTCCTCAACAACATCTTCCATTTTCTATCAATCTTGTGTATGACATTTCCTCCTCCAATGCTTTCTTGACTTCTTCGCATCTTCCGTATGCCTTGCTGCGCCGCATTTTTTCTCCTCATCTTATTTCCAGGTGGTCTCTCGTTTCATTTCAAGTACTCTTTAAGGCTCTCGTCCCGTACCTTTTATCATCTTTCTTCCCGAGTGACTCATATCGCTTGTATGTAGCTGCCCATGCATTTGAATTCAATGTGTCTCAAAATTTACTTATGAATTAAACTCGGCAGTAATAACCTCATGGAAAGGAGTCCTACTTGAATGCCTCCATTCTTCTCACCAGAAACCGATTTGTTCGAACAGGCTCTAGTAATGTCTTCAGTTATCGTTTCATACAATATTGCTCGTTTTAGGTATTATATTTTGATTTATTCTTCAGATCCCGTCATGGATACACTGATGGAAGATCCGGTGCGGTTACCATCTGGTCATATCATGGATCGAAAGCATATTATGCGTCATTTGCTCAGCAGCCAAACGAATCCCTTTAATCGTGCCCCACTCACAGAAGATGAGCTGGAACCCGGTGAGTACACAGTCAGTCACCCTTCTGTAGTAGACTGTCACGGAATTGGTAACTATGTGCAGTTTCAGTTCAAAACCTACATTTAGCATAACTGAAGTAGCTAAGTAACTTGCGATTAGATGCGAAAGCATAACTTCACCTTTTTTCGCATCAGAATTCATCATTGTCAGATGTGTCATCGAATTGATTGATGTCATTTATTTAATCGCAAACACACATTTATACCGGTTTGACAGTATTACAGACTCTATCAGTTACATAAATACATTTCCTTCCCCCCGGTTCACAGCAAAGAACGACTGTTCTCGTATGAAGTTGGTGGTTTCCCAGTCCCCAGGTGTTTGCTGAGGATTGGTATCAGTGTGACCTCAATTGACTCTTTAGTGTTGACTCTGACTCCAGCCAATGGACAGCTGCTCAAGGCCACAGGCGAACTTTTTCTTAATCATTTTCCGATATTTCTAGCTCTTGTTGTGCCCACTGCCTGTGTTCCTCTCGAGAAAGCCGCTCGCTCTGTGCACTTTTTGAGCCAGCCATCTGTCATTGCCGCCGTTCCCGTAATTTCTCCGCAAACCTATTAACAAACTTCTCGGCTAATTGGAGACTTTTAGTTAGCACCTTTGTGTGCTTCTGTTAATGCAGTTTTTTCGGCCTTTATTTCACTACTTTATAAGTAGTATTATGTTCAAAAAACACTTCTGGTTAAAAAAAAGTCTCAAAGCGTAGGAAAACCGACAAGCTGTGGGATCTGGTTCGGTTATGAAATTGATCGATCAGGATGATTTAGAGCTAACATTTGAGGAGTTAATGGTGTTTGTAGATAGCAGTCGAATATCTATTCTTTTAATAATATAGATTGTGTGCTGAGTGTGAATTATGAATATTACCTTACAATAATAAGGCGGAAAACAGCAGAACAGAGTCCTGGCTCTGCGTCATCGCATTAACATTCGGTGCAGAAAGATTTAATGCGTTCGTTGAAGAAACAGGGCTATCAAGGACATCTTCCAAATCATTTGTAGGCCTTTTTGCTAAAGCAATTCGATGACTCCGTGAAAGATGGTAACCAGTCTACTAATATGATACTCATCCTGTCTTTCGATGCTACATTATTGCATTCCTGTTGAGTATCGCATGACTTATGAGCTGTGTAAAAGCTCCTTGGTATTGCAGCTTTCCGTAAGTGCATATGTTTGCTCGCAGCTCGTATCGATTGTCTTTTCAGTTGCCGAGTTGCGGCAGCGCATACGAGACTGGGTGAAGGAAAAACTTGGAAAATAGGAGGCAACTTTCACTGACTCAACCGGGGAGCATTCTCGCGTTGTCGTTTCTTCTTGCCTTCTTGTTTCTGCTATACGGTTTGAACATTTGTTTCGTGTATATTCGTTAAGAAATGTTCCAAATAACTGTACAAAGTCATCCACGTTTTCTCGTTTTTCCCTCAAAGTGGTCACGATTATCGTTTAACTCCGGCTTCAGTTTCGTTGATACTCGGAGCATTTGATTATTTTTACTACCACCTACAAACTTTGTGTTCCTGTTCTACCTTGATGCTGCGATAGATTCGCCTCAGCTACCCTTTGCTCGTTGAGTTTGCTTTCGGTCATGCTCGTTTTTTTTTCGGAGATATGAACAAAGGTAGTGATCGTTGTGCGGATATATTTTACGCATATATGTACACATATGTGTTAGTCTGGGTCAATTAGTAGTCAATTTGGGGCGGTACTACTTGTATTACCAGAAATGTAGTGGAGTTGATTCAAGAAGGTGTGCTGCTTTATCAGGGTTTTCGAAAGTGCAATTTTTCAGCTATTTTCAAATTGCTCTGATGGATTAGTTTCTATGGTTTTCAGCTGATTGATTTGGGAGGATTATGAGGCCGTAGCAAGTAAGCAGGCAGTCTCGCCCTTAAAGTGACATGTTTATCGATATTTCATACAGGATTTACTGTAGTGTGCAGCATTTGAAATTCATATACTAGTCTTCATTATGAGTATATCTGAGATAGTACTGACAATCTTAGCTATTTCCTTTTGTGATGGTATCTCTTAGATTTACTACGTACGTACAAATTGTGTCCCTTTTTTATTTACTTCCCTGTGTATAAAAGTTTCCGTCAACTTTGTGCGCTGAGTCGCTTAGCGATCGATCGGTTGTTTCGAGCGTATCTTATCTTCAGATGAATGAATAGACTTTCTTTGCTTGTCCGTTCGTGGAAATGGCGAACTGACATCAGTAGTAAAATTTCTGCTGCTGAGCTGTTTTTTATTGTTAGGGATAGAGTCTGGGCATCTGTAGCTGGAAGGATGGCGCTTCTGATGAAAACCTTCAAGGTTAGTGTCTCAACTTTGATAATCTTACTTTCGATTATGAAATGGTGAGGATGTTTGTCATTTTCTTTGTGTTTTTTGTTTTACTTTCTTTGTATTTTCACTCGTTTTAGCTTGCTAGAGCATCAAAATTTCAGGCGCCTGCGCCGGTACTCACTGCGGCTGTTATAGCTTCTCAACGCCGTATGGCTAGTAATGGGGAAGTGGAATTCCATACAAAGGTAATTTATGTTGTTTGATAGTTATTTTTTCTTAATGTGCTTGCATTAAATGATTCTCCTCAGGGAGCATATCTCAAGAAGGTGAGACTGTGGGCCTGACTTTTCGTCTGTAAAAAAATCCTGGGATCTTTTGGCTAAAAAAAAAAAGAAACTTTGGAAGGCATGGGTGAAATTTTGAATAGTCAATGTTCTTGTAGAATACTCTTTAGACTAGAGACCCCTCGAACCCGGTATACAAGAGGCTTACCTTGATCTAANGCCGAAACGTTAGCCCTATAAAGTTTAGAATCTTGGAAATACTGAGGCAAATAAACGTACAAGTCAATGTTCTGTTTAATTTTTTATTTGACCCTCAACTTTCTGAATGAAGAAGGCCTCTTACAAAGACCAGTTTTACCCCTTATGGCTTTCCAAAACTATTATGTTATATTCCTAGTTCGGATCGAAATACAGGGCTTCATCGGATTGCACATAAATGTGTATATAATATTTATCGATATAGCACTTGAAAATAGTGAAATCATTCGAATCATGAAAGAGGCACATTACTTCAGGGTTATAAATTGCACAAACTCGATCAGGGTCCAAAAGAAGCAGTTACATTGAATCGCGATGATGCGCTACGCTTTTACAGGCAGATGCAGGTGAGTTTCTCGACGTCAAATTTTTTGTTCCACTTCGGTACATGGAGCTTTGTTCGACTTTTGCGGCATTTCATGTTGATTGAACTTAGCTTATCCGTCGTATGGAATCGGCCGCTTCGAATCTCTACAAGGAGAAGAAAATCCGTGGTTTCTGTCATCTGTACTCCGGCCAGGTGAAACTGTTATTTCAGAAACAACGAACTTTGCATCGCACATTGCCTGAAAAGGTCTCTTCAGGAAGCTTGCGCAGTTGGCACCAAAGCAGCCATGGAGGACGGTGATGCCGTAATTACCGCATATCGTTGCCATGGATGGACCTTGTTGCAAGGAGCTACCGTAACTGAAGTCCTATCTGAACTAACCGGTCAGTCGGTTTCGTGGGAAGTTGGGATATTTTGCTTTTTTGTCTCATCATCATAACCATCTTCCCTATGCTTTGTGGGACTCGGTGCTTCTTCCTTGTGGGAGAATAAGCTGTTTATCAAGGTTCACTTTGTCCCACATAGGGTCGTGCTCTTTGAGGTGCATGTGCCGTGGGGTTTGCTGGAGTAGCAATTTGCTTTATTTTTGGCGAAATGAATAGGGTGTTTCTGAATAAAGGCATACAGTTTCGAACAAAATGACTGGTCTATGTGGTTAACTCGTGAAGTACACATTGGTTTGAAAGCACAGCAACTTGAAAGTATATATTTAACACGCATATTTTATCGCTTAATGCTCGTATAGACGAATCTGGCGTTCGGCTGAACATTTCGCAGAAGTTGAGCGTCGACTTACGTTCATCAGCTTGAATCGCCGAAAAAATAGAGGAATCTCGGAGAAGTTTATGGTAGAATCAAATCTTTCGTCTCTTTTCCCAGGAATGACGATAATATCTTTTTATTAGGGGAATAATTTTGGACTTTATGGTTTAACAGAAAACTCAGCAAAGGACTTTCTTTTAGATCTCTTCGATTCCATATTCGTTGATTTGCAATGGTTATAAAATTCATTCTTCAGACATTAATCTCTTGTCAGACCATACAACTTGGCTAACGCGCTATAATTTTCAATCTGTGATTGTTTTCATCGAACGGGTGTCCTGATCAGGTGGTGTGTTTTCTTATCACACAGTGATGAAAACGGAAGTATGGCATATTCAGGAAATGAAGGGGTTGTGGAAGGGCTTCTGCGAGATTTATAGACGAGAATTAGCATTAGTAGCAATAAATGAATGTTGTTTGGTTGCTAATTTGGGTTGACAATTTTTCTTTCCTTGAAAATTACTCTCGGTGACGATTTCAACTAAAGTGGGGAACGGATCCTCTAAACTTGGACTTTGCTCATAGTACTGGTACAATTGATATTCGGCGTTCACCACTTAAGTTATGTACACCAGTGTGTAGATTACACAGTTGTGCCAATCTGGTGGAAGTCCTAATAATTACCTGGTGCGTCTTATTCTTTTACTCTTCTTTTGGTATTTCTGTAAACTCGTAAGAAGACAGTAGCTTTTTGTAAGGGTGCTTTGGAGGTGTTTAGCAAGAATCATTATGCGTGAAGTGCAAGAAACCGAGTTGATCGCTCACATGTAATCTGCATGTAATTTCCATGGCTTCACCCCCTTTCCCGAGAAGGTTGCGTGGTTCCACATAGTAGTTCCACTGGTGAATTGCAAAAAATGTCATTTTTTCAGACGGTCGCATGTTCACGCTGCTAACCCGTATTCCGTTAAATTCATTCAACACCGTAAAAACACTTGATCAAGACACATTCTCTGTGAACATGAAATGAGGATGTCATATGTTAAGAGTTATGCAGAGCTAGCTAGCTACCTTTTTTCAGGAAAAAGTACAGGAGTCGTATATGGAAAAGGGGGCTCAATGCACATGTATCAAAAGAATTTCTACGGCGGTAATGGTATTGTTGGTGCTCAGCAGCCCCTAGGAACAGGAATCGCATTCGCCATGAAGTACAGGTCAGTATTAGTTTCTTTTTTATAATTCCTTCCTTCACGATTTGATAGTGAAGTAAGTTTTTAGGAAACAGAAGAACATCTGCATCACCCTTTATGGAGATGGTGCTGCTAACCAAGGTCAACTTTTCGAATCGACCAATATGGCTTACCTTTGGAACCTTCCTGTAGTATACATATGCGAGAATAACGGATTTGGTATGGGCACACAAGCAGAAAGATCGTCCGCCTCGACTGACTACTATATGAGGTTTGGCAGTACTATACGCTTATTATTGTCTTCTAATTTAATACTAATTTGTTTAGGGGCGACTACGTACCCGGCGTCTGGGTCGATGGTATGGATGTGTTAGCCGTTCGTGAAGCGATCCGTTGGGCAAAGGAGTACTGTAACGCTGGCAAGGGACCTTTAGTGCTAGAGCTGGCCACGTATAGATATCATGGGCATTCTATGTCCGATCCTGGAACAAGGTAGTCAATTCTGCTTTGAACTCCTCATACCAACGAATACCCGGCTTTCCAGCTACCGTACGCGTGAAGAGATCCAAGAAGTTCGCAAAACTCGTGACCCTATTACTGGTTTCAAGGACCGCATTATTACTTCTGGACTTGCGAAAGAAGATGATCTTAAGGCAATCGATAAGGTATAACTTGTAGTAACTGTCGTATTATAAGGCCGATATGAGTATCCATTTTTCAGGAAGTTCGCAAGGAAGTTGACGATGCAGTCAAAGTGGCAAACACGGCTCCTCTGATGCCTGACGAGGGAGTCTATACTGATATCTATCACAACACTCCACCTATGATGGTAGGTTTTTTTTGCTTCCGAGGTATTCACCCTAGTCCGAAAAAGTTTGCTGAAAATTTCTAAGTTGTTGGCGGGATTTGATGAAAATTTTGCGAGCGTTCGCGATGCGGCTGGTGGTTTGTGGGCTGAAATGTTTTCTCCAATCACACCACCTAATTTTGGATCGAGCTTATTTTCATTTCATTGTTTACTCATTCTAGATACGTGGAGCCACCATCGATACGTCTCATATGCAGAAATTCGTGAACTCTGGCGAACTCATGAAAACTGTTGCTAAGTAGAGTTCTGTTCGCAATATTGTGTAGTGTAGCGCATCAGAGTAGTTTTTATTTGTTATAGTCATTAAAAGCTAATAATTATTGTTTGTGTTCATACTTGACCCGGTAGATGCCGATCTGTTTTACCATGACACTAGCTTGGCTGTTCCTACTCAGAACATGAGATCTTTCTCTAGGCGTGGTGTTTGATTTCGTGATAACTTAATAAAACTAGAATTCTTTCATTAGAAATGAAGTGTTTAGAAAAAGCAGACGATGAGCGTCGATCAATACTATTTGAATAGACCATGAACTCAGCATTCATTTAGAATCATGGTCTTATTAATAGAGGGCGGGGGTTATATTTGCTCGATATTGGATAGGGGCTATTATAATTCCTCAGTATGGTACCAGATCCATGTTCCAATGTGTCTTGACGTAGTCGCATCGATGGACAGCAAATGAGATGCTGACGTTCTCCAAAAAGTCACCTCTTTCTTGTTCGAATGATTTGATGAGGTCTGGAAATGGTAATTTCTAGTGGGAGAACCCAACGCGGTAGTATTTGTGTTAATCAATAGTTCATACTGATCGATTGGTCGATAAACTGTGGGTGGTGTTTATGCTGTTGTTTTTGGAAGCTGTTAACAGTCCTTGCGACTCCCAGGCGTACCCTTCTTCTGTTTGGGTTATATGTGAGGCCCAAGACAATCCAGAAGAAATTTCTTCGCGCTTGTAAGATTCACTACAACTTCTCTCTGGCTTCGGGTGACCATTCCTGTCTGTAGCTGACTGGCAGAGGTATCACAACCGGTAAAGGGGTTCACAGTGACTCAGTCATGTCAGGTTACACCTCGTTGCCAGTCCGATTTATTGTCGAGGGANCCCTTCTTCTGTTTGGGTTATATGTGAGGCCCAAGACAATCCAGAAGAAATTCCTTCGCGCTTGTAAGATTCACTACAACTTCTCTCTGGCTTCGGGTGATCATTCCTGTCTGTAGCTGACTGGCAGAGGTATCACAACCGGTAGAGGGGTTCACAGTGACTCAGTCATGTCAGGTTACACCTCGTTGCCAGTCCGATTTATTGTCGAGGGAGAAAAAGCAGTGACAATTTTTCATTATCGAACTGGATAAGTTCTTGATGGCATGTATATTTTGCATTAGGGCTAGTTTCAGTCATACAGTTGGCGGAAAAACGACTGGGCAAGATTTATTGTTGACCTTTCAAATTGCTCACATCAAGCTATAACTGACAGATAAAACTGGGCTCTGAACGTGATAGTATGGAGCATATTCTGGCACCTTCAGGAGCGTCAAGAAGAATTTGGATAGGACCGCTGTGTTTGTTACTACGCATTATTTACTGTGCTTTTTTTACTTATTTATTTGTTGATTTATTTCATGCGCTCACATGGGCCTTCATGCAGATCAAGTAAATCGCGAGAAAAAGCTAAACTGCCTCACCATTTAAGGTAAAAAGCTTTTTATTCGAACAGTAAGGGAAAGCTTTTATGAGAAAATTCTGTACGTAACACTTTTTAGAGAAATGTCAGTCAGTCCTAAAGGTTAATGTAGGGTGTCCACACGAGCCTCAAATATCCTCTGCAGGTGTGTTATTCAACATTTCTAAGAAAAAACAGCATTGCCCTATTTTCATGACTGCGGTATCCACTACAAAGGAGAAAAGGTAATCCTTCTAGACCTTCATCAATCGCGCTTTTGGTATACGCCATGCGATTGACTTCCATTTGCTAGTCAGCTCCTTTTGAAAGAGTAATTCTTTCAAGACCTTATTTAGAAGTATACAGGAATGTGTAACCATCCGTATCACTGAATTGTTAGAAACTGTCACGGTATCTAATCAAAAACTTAGCGTTTCATCCTTCCTCACAAGCATTGCTGTTACTCACTCCGGTGCCTTGGTCATGGGATGGAGAGGCCATGAGTTCAACTCGTGCTGAGACTAAACCGTGCTCATGTAATGAAAAACTCTAAGTCCGCTCCTTGTCAAGGCAAAGACTATGCTTTGGAAAAATCGAGATGGTGACGGTACCAGTATCAAATCCGCAGGCCAGTGATGGAGGACCCAGTCATGTCATTATTATCGAAAGAAGAATGAGGTTCGAAGAATGTAGGCTGGTCGGAACCCCAAAGGCTTTCCATTCGGAAAACACCCCTACGGGATTGTCACCTATTGTCACTGTTCGGTTATCGTTGTCTGGGATTTTCACTCTTTTAAGCATTTAGGATTTTTACTTTTAGAATTTTTGTCTCTTTTAAGCTCCTTTCAAAAGAATCCTCAATCCGATAGTTTGGCCTTAACGTCATATCGTTCTCAAAAGAGATTCCGACTTCACGTGCTTGTGATTCAAATACCTGGGAGCCACACAAATATTGCAAGGTTTCAAGAGTGCAACATATCTATTATCTACTACGTGTCAGTTATTTGGGATGTCAGGGTGCTTTCTTCATCTCTGTTTTTCAGGAGGACTTGTAAGAAGCGCTCGGTCGGATTCACGCATTCGCAACATTTTGGAGATATCCATAAAACTTTACACTGACGTGACACGTGGACATACTAGCTGACAGCCTTGGATTTTACAGTCAACCAGTGGAAAACCGCTGATTAACATCCTTCAAAGTTTACACACATATGGCGTAAACCTGCTGAAAGGGTGGATCGCGGATATGGGAGGCATGAGGAGCCGGTCAGTAGCTTTTTAAGTTCACACTTTCACGGTGTTTCAGCATTCAGTATGACCGTCTGTAGAGTTTCATTTTAACATTTGATAGTCTCTTATAGTTTATGTATCTAATACCTCCACAGTATGTATTAAAGTAATTTGCTTCAAATTCTTTTGAAGTGAGATCCCCCTTAGGAAACTATGGTGGTATATTCTCTGGTTTGTTGAATACAGCTTTCCATTTCAGAAACGTCAGTATCCTACTGTTATATTAAATTTTCCACACATCTACAGACCCTCCATAGTATCACGAACAGTTCTTGGAGAGCTTTTTTCAAACCATTCCTGGATAGACGGGAAGGGCTGCCGCTTTTTATTATGAGACGACACCCGCACTACTCCGTCCATGTTTTGAGGTCAATAGGATTACGATGACTGCTCTTTTCGATTTTTTAGATAACTGACTGATTTCTTAATTTCATTTATTTATTTTGCAAAGGCCGAATTAGATGTTGACCTTAACTGTATGTAGTTAGGATTGTGTACTGTATAGGTAGGCCGCATTTCTATAAAATCTGTAGAACTAGAGTAGAGATACTCACCTGTATCACCTGTTAGCTGTCGTCCCGTTGATCATTGATTTCCTCAAACGGGCACCAGTAACGTCTCCATTTGTCCCTGTCGCGAGCTAGAGTAGTCCATTGAATCGTCCTAGGTCGAGAGACACAAGGCTTAGCATTCCTTCCGTCTAGAGCTTTTGTGAAGAAGTGTGATCGTCGCTCTGATCGCCGTCCTGCTGTTCGAGCAGAGATAATGCAGTGCCAAATGACTCAC